AAATTGTGGCAGTCCAGAACCTGCATAACAAGCTTGTGGAACTGAGAAAACGCATCAGTAAAACAGATTAAATATCTCGTCATCTTAAACTGAAAAGACCGAAAACTACGTCAGTTCAGAAAACCATAAGCAATTCGAAGAGGCGGTAGTATGGGTGGGGGGGGTGGGTGGGTGGGGGGAGTTTGCTGGGGATGAAGCTACCCCAAAATGTGCCTTAGCATCTTCTGTAGCTCTCGTATCAACGAACAATGCCCAATGTTAAACTGGTTTACTTCCTAAATACTACAGTATGTGTGCACACAAGATGTAAAATGCAGCCATCCCAATTTTTTGTCAAATTCACCTCATCCCCCTCACCGAGAGGAGGCTGGCTCCGCCCCTAAGAATTTGCCATGTCAAACTGAAAGGAATTGAAAAAAATACACCAGCCAAAAAAGGGTGAAACGAACTTGCCATGCCAAACTGAATAGAACTGGAAAAATACATCAGTCCTGCATGGACAATATAAGGAATTCTCCATATCAAACTGAATGAAACTAGTAAAATACATCAGTCCTGCATGGACAATATAAGGAATTCTCCATATCAAACTGAATGAAACTAGTAAAATACATCAGTCCTGCATGGACAATATAAGGAATTCCCCATATCAAACTGAATGAAACTAGTAAAATACATCAGTCCTGCCTGAACGGTGTAAGGAATTCGCCATATCAAACCGGAAGGAACATGAGAAAATACATCAGTTCAAAACAGCATAAGAAAGTTGCCATGTGAAACTGAAGGGAACTGAGAAGATACGTCAGTCCAGAGTGACGGAAGGAGCTAGCCCTATTAAACAGGAAATAGCAGAGAAAATCGTCTCTAACACAGTAAAAAAAAGGGGAATTAATTAAACAAAGCGACAAGGTGTTGAGAAAATACACAAAACGGAATCTACGGAAGGACTTAGTGTTGCTCCCTAGAAAATGACTTAAACTGTCCAGTGAATATTTGTATATATATATATATATATGTCATGCTACGTGATAGGCACGTGCAGGACAAATTTAAAACATTGTGGAGATCGTCATAAAATGCTCTATTGCAACAGCAGTGCGTGGTATTGCAGGGAAGTTTTAAACTCTCAAACATCATAATCTCCTTAACTCTCTGAATCGTCCCAGATGTGCACCACTGGGAATATGTGTATTTTGACGAAGTACATCCATATAAGGATGTAACCAGGAGATAATCACAGATGTGGCTTGGTCACTACGTAAAATGTGGTATTACGGAAACAGCAAGCATCACCATGGTTACACAAATCATCCAACATAAACTCAGAGAGAGAGAGAACAGATGAAGAACTGTTATGATTTCCTTAAAATAATAATCGAAAAGTTAAATAAAAACCGATTTTGAAACCGGAAATAATTAGATTATTTCCAAGTTTGGTTCCAACGGAGTGAAAAATAAAGTTTTAAGAAGCATTATGGAATCAGTATCAAAATAGAATAACGTTCGAAGGATCCATCTCTTGCAAAGAATTTCAGAATGTCGTCTGACACTTCTAAGAGCACTTAAGTTTGACTATTTTATTTTCTGGATGAAAGTAAAGTAGAATCGTGAAAAACGGCGAATCATTAATCTCGTTAAATAAATATACAGGATATTCTATAAAAATGTTAAAAATAGTTTACACC